TTTTTTTTTTTTTTAAAAAGGAATTCCATGGAAACATCAGTAAGCTTTGAAACTGAGAATAGATAACCATGTTTGCAGTAAGTTAAGTGAATGCCACCAGGAAATGAGATTTGCGTTGGATAAAAAAAAAAAAAATTGCAGCATGTACTTTCATGCAGAAAATGTAAAGACAATGTACAGTATATTCTTTTACTAAGATGCTTTGGAAAATCATACTTCTAGACTAAATTTCAAAACACATTTTGGTATAAAATGATGGTTAATAAAAGCTTTTACAGAATTTCAAGACAGACTATTAAAATCTCCTATCATAAATCTCATAGGAGAAGCTGAGTAAGAAATAACCATTTATCATAGTATCAGTATTTACCAAGTAACTATTCTCAGCTCTTTAAAACAGATAAGACACGTAATAAAAACAAACACTAAGAAAAAGCCATAAATATCCAGTATTGCATTCTAATGAACACATGCATAATCCATTTCCACAGCTCACTACAGCAGAATTAGAGAATTATAAAAATATCCGTAAAGTTGAGATTCATTCAACAGAAAAGTTAATCTTTTTATATAGAAACTAGCAATAGCACTTGCGAGATTACCATGCAAGTAAGTAGAAACGTGAACTAGAAAGCAACAATTGCAGCGCACACACATTCACAAGACACTGCAATCTTAATCAGGTCACTCAGTACTGACTAAAATATAGTTTTGCTTTGCCTTTAATTCATGAGACATATGCAAGGAAAAAAAAATGAACCATCTCATTTAGAAATGCAGAAGTCAAACGTTTTCTCCAAGCTCAACAACTCCCAAGCTGTTTCATTTCCTCCTGCGTTTCTTTTTCTTACTTACAAGTATTGCATTCATTCCTGATGCAATGCCATAGATCAAACCTGAGAGGCGTGCTGCATATGTATACTCTTTTAAATCATCCTTCAATAACCTGATAAACAGGTATGTCATGTTGCAATGGAGAGGATCAGCATAAATGTAGCGACTAACAAAAAGAAAAACAAAAGAAATGCTTTGATACCTCAAGCAGTGACAAAGTAATGGATGAAGAAACATGACTGAAGAGTATGTATATGCAGCCTCATGATCAGTAGTTCTTGAACAGGAAAGCCGAAGTGTACCATTTATTTAATAGGGGGTCTTCTACCCCATCAGTCAGAGAGTTTTTAGTAAGTATCTGACAAACTGAATAAATATGTAAGCTTGGATTAGGGTTGCTTTTTTCTTTTTTAAAAATGGAGGAACAGACCTTACAACTAATTAATTTAATGAATGATATAAAAAGAAAGAAGAAAATTTGCTTAATATGAATGGAAAGATTGTTGAAGACTTTGAACAAAATTCAACTTAAAATTCAAATTAAAGAAAGGATGGTTAATAACCAAGATCAAAAGGAGTAACAGCCTTAGACCCATCTTTTATTTAAAAGTCCTTCCATCAAATCAATGTAAAAATGTTGATGAGTGGAAGAAGTTTTAAGGCTCTAAGCTCTTCCTTGATTTGGGTACTTACATACATCCCATAGATGGTATTTTGGAGATCATAGTTCAAGCCAGCTAGTTCTGCTGCATATGCATACTCGTTGAGGGAGTCTTTGAGTAGTTCAAGGTACAAATAGGCCATGTTACAATGCAAGGGATCCACGTAAGCAAATGGGCTGGAAGAAAATGTTGACAGTAAAATATGCAGTTTAAAATTATTTCTCAGTTTCTTCTGCCCTTTTAAGTTTGATCTGAAGGAAACAATATTTACTGCGAGTATGCTGATGGATCCCATTATGAAGGATTCCTATTTCAAAGCCAAATATGAACATACCTGAAAATAATTATTTAGCTTGCTTATGGTTTCAGCAATGCCTAAATATATTGAAAATTCCAGAGATATTACCTTATTTGTGCTTATAAATCAAGACACATTATATTTACGTTGCTGCACAGAATTCATCAGGAGTAAAATAAATATGCCCTGAATAACCAACATAATTTAATAGACTGAAATGAAAGCCCACATACTGAATACTAATTTAATTAATACTTCTACACTATCCGAAAACAAAGTAGATTCTATTACAGAAACTAAGAGATTAGCAATTTGTAGTACAAAAATATGCAGTACATGCTAAGTTCAGCTCAAGAAAGAAGTTTGGCATATCTGTTTTCATACCACTGTAATGTTTTGTGTTATCTTTTTAATGACAACAACTATACAAGCTCTACTGGTATATGAGAAGCATCTTATCACATACAATACTGTTGCAAATTTCTCAAAAAGAAAAATGCAACTCAAAGACTCAAGCCATGTTTCAACTGCGCCAATTGTTAAATATCTGTGTGTTTTAAAGATCTGCAAAGTCAAGACAAGTTATTTATTTCTATAGCTTCTGAAGTGCATATAAATTCATTATCAATTTCACAGAAATAATCAGCAGTATCAAAAACATTTGCTGTCAGGTCATGACTTACAATTCAAAACCACGCCACTTGGATTCATTTTCCCTAAACAGTAATGGTCATATTGAGAGACATGCTATAATATATGTTTACACCTATATAGCATAGTATTGCATAGCATATACCAATATTAATGCTGTAAAACAAAGGTCACATCACCACAACACACATGCCGATACCTTTAAAATACATTGCAAAGGTATTTTTAAAGAAGGTTCCTAGCAGTTTTTAGTAAGGCTTTGACTTCTCCTTCCTTTTAGATTAAGGAAAGGAAGCACGGCAAGAGATTTAAAAAAGAAGTATTAAAAAAATAAAAAAATCTATTAGAGAAGCAGAGCCTGTTATAGTCTGAAATCTTAGCCTAGGATATGCTTTTTTACTACTACTGGCTTAATTATTCTGGGCTTGGGCTTGTGCAACTTAAGCAAACAGGTCAGGGGGAAAAAAAAAGAGAGAGAGAGAGAGAGAGAGAGAGAGAGAAAAAAGAGAGAGAAAAAAAAAAAAGGAGAGGACTCTGCTATTTGCATTTCTCCCCACAATGAGAATTTCCCAAAACAGAGCAATTTCAATATGCCCAATGATGCAAATCTAATTTATATTGAATTTTTAATTAAGAATGAAGTCAAAGCAAGATGTAGGTCAAGCCTACGTTATCATAAGCCTTCCTCCAAACTCATTATATTCTTTTCCATTTTGACACTAGAATAGAGAATCAGTCTGAGTGATTACTACATCCATATCAGCTATGACTTCTGTATAGTCACTTAGCTGCCAAAGGCCAACAGGGAGTTTTGAAAATAATGAAAACTACTAAATCATTAATCCTCAAGTGAAAAATAATAGAAAACAATTATTCTAACACTGTTCTGCGAATTGCCTTCTGTTACTGAGAACTTTGTAAATAAATACTTAATTCTAGGTTTTATTGACTTAACTTGAAGAAGCAGAACAACTCAATCACTGATAGTTTATTTGTAAAACATTAAAGTCTAGTCCTTTCCCCTTTGAAACAGAGCTGTAAGTGACATATCTGGAATCAACACTAAAGCATTGATCCTGGGTTACTGTATGAGCAACTCAAGTTGCTTGAAATATTAAGCTGGAAGACAACAAGTACCCAGTTAAAAATAACTGGTACTGTATTCTTAACATCCATCTCTCTAAGCCTTGGGAAACTAAGTGCAGAATTTATAACTACCTTTACAAAGTTTTCAAAACAACAGCACATTACATTGTTACTTTGCTTCCTTTAAAAAAAAAAAAAAAAAGGATACTTGCATTCTTAAGTTATAATTCATACAAAACCAAAAGCTTATCATCATCCTTTAGGCTCGATGATAAGTCCAGTGCCAGAGGTTTTTACTATGGTGTTTCTTTAATGCAAGACTTGTGCCATGTAAGGATTTTCAGTTTTGGAACAAGGCGACTTCAAGAGGTTCATATACTCAGATTATTCCTACTGGATTTGTACGTTTGAGGGAGACATCACCCTCATCAACTTCCTCTTAATTTATCTACACAGCAGTTGCTGCTATAAGATCTGGGTTAGGAATTCTTCCAATGATTTGTGATGATCAGGGCTGCAGGCAGAAGAAATCCTTCTCATTTCTTCTGTCTTACTGAAGCAGTCTGTAGTGTGAACAAATTCTTGCAATCTGCTACAAGGCAACAGAGCCATCATATTCTGATCTGGAATTGAGGTGAAAACTTTTTATGAAAACCTACGTTACTAAGACAGCTTTATTCACCAATTCACTTGGCCACAAGAGCTATGAGTAATTTCATCAAGTTTCAGGAATAAACACTATACATTTCACCATTTCCTCCAATGACCATCAGCATGACCAGTCTCAAAAGAGAGAGAGATTCATGAAGAATCTTAAGTATCAAAACCAGACACACTTGCTTGCAACTTCTTTTGGAAATGACGTATCCAATATTGTCAAAATCTCCTCACATCCGTTCATATACAATTACCATATTATTTTTAAAGAAAAGGAGAGAACCCTTGCCCCCAACCCTTTCCACAGCTTTCCACCTGTAACCATTCCTAGCAGGAAAGAGATAAATCATTCCATTACATTAGTCAGCAAAGCTCAAGTACTCCTGGCTTTTTAAATGGCTCACTGAGATGAAAGTACAAATCTAACAGGGAAAGACTATTACCACATAGCTAGTTGAAGATGTCTCTGTTCATTGCAGGAGGGCTGGACTCAATAACCTTTAAAGGTCCCTTCCAACCCAAACTATTATATGATTCTATGATATTGTGTGTGTATACATACTTATACCTTCGTCTGCTCTACATAAAATCAATTATCTTTAATCATTCGCAAACTGGTATAGAGATTGGATCACTCATAGTTCTTTTGGAATTGATTTTTTAAAAAACACTCACAACTGTATAACATAAACTCAAGGTCCATCGATAAAATCCTATTTTGGATTTTGGCCAAACAGTACAAGGGAAAGCCACCACATATGAACAAAGAAGGCAAAGTATTGGAATTGTTGTTCTCTGCGTAAGAGGTGGGCAGTTACCATTTTGATCTTCCATTTCCTGACACATTGAAGTTGAAACAGTTGTAATGTTTGCCCTGTGGTTTCAAAAAGCAAAAAGAAAGAGGAAATGCCCAGGCAACCTGTCTTCTGCAACTAGAACGAACATCAGTAGCAAGATCTGACGGTCTCCAGAAAAACCCTTTATCTAAAATTCTGCCAAGAAAAATTTCAAGTCATCACTGAAAACAAGGACTTAACAGTGCATCTACGAGCATCTATCAGAGCCCACATGATAGCCTTTCCAGCAATATCATCAAATCACTTCATTAGGCCAAAAGAGGACAGTTCCTGAAATTATTTTCACTTTCAGTAGGCCAGCACAGAAATAGCTGCACTCTAAAGACAGTAGTATTTTTTTTTTAATTCAAAACTTAAAAATTATTGCTTGAAAAGAAAACTAAGAAGGTACATCACTGTCATGCTCACTTAAGAAAAAGTTTTCCTGTGATGAAAATAATGTAAGACCAGAATTAACACTACAGCACTTCACGCATCTTGAGGTGAGAATCACACATTCCCTGATAATACAGACAGTGTTCTTTGAAATAAAAAAATAAAAAAAAAAACAAAAACAAAAACAAAACAACCAGTTGTTGGTGTCACTTAAATAAAATCCCACAATTTTAAGCACTTAGAATTTTATACTGGCTTGCATTATGCATATTAAAATAGAATTTGAACCTAAACCCATTATCAGAATAGCATTTTACAAAGAAAATACTATCTTAAAATGGTTGTGATTTAGTCAATTTAAAATAACATACACACATTTTTAAAGATGTATATTGCAATATGTAGTAGGTCCTACTGGTAGGCAAATTTCAGTATAGCAAATAAAACATATAAGAAAATTTGTTTTTAAAGTATTTTTAGATAAACTTTTCCTGCTAATACAGACGGAGCACCTCAAACTGCTTGCTACTCAACTACTGCATAACTTATGTGAACCTTCATGCTGTCTGTATCTTACTGCATATTCCAAAGCAAGGACAAATGTTTTAAAGCCTCAATACATGCAGGAAAGTCTTTGCCACAGAAATACAGATTCCCAACAAACAAGAAATGTTTGGAGAGCAATTCATGCGATATACTTAACACTGCATACCTGAAAAATTCAAAGTTGAGACAAGCTTTTGGCAGAAAAAATTTGTCATCTTGCTTGAACCATAGTTTGCTCATAGCTGTGTCCTGTGTCAAGAAAAGAAATGTTAGGTGACCTAACAAAACCTAACTGTATGATACTATACTATTTAAAATAAAAAGTCGCTGCGCCACTTCAAATCTCAGTTTAGTGTTGTCCCCTTAAATTCATATTCTTGCTATATACATTTGTGTATACATCATCTATCCTTATTGAGACTCTCTTCTTGCCATATGTCACCTTAACAAGCAGTTAAATGGCTACAGCACTGTGAATAAGGGAACTACTGCTCTAGAGCAGGACTGATCAAAAACAAATGTAGAGTTAGCTTCACAAAAGCTAACGCTGGCATTAAAATAAGATGTACCATTATGCAGCACTACAGCAGCATACAGACATGTTTTAGACTAAGAATGTAATTGTGTATTTAATGTTTTTAGTAAAAAATATTAATGCATTGTATGTTGTTTTAAAGTAACATCGGTACCAAAACACACACATTTAGAAAAAGTAGTAAAACTAGTTGGAAATCAGCTAAAAGATGGGTCACCAAAATTTTTTTAGAATTATCTCCTAGTACAAGAAAGAATCTAAACAACCTCCCCTATTGCTTTTTATCCCACAAAAGCTGTGAAATAGATTCTCTCTGTTCCAACTCTAGTTAACTTTATTCCCCCAACACCTTTTCTTTAAATTGCTATACATAAGAGAGAACTTTTAAATGTAAAATTATTTCTCTCATATTTTTGAGCAGATGTTCTTTGCTTCTCAGGAATTTGGCACAGTATTTTCCTCCTCTTTGCATAAAAGAAATAAGTCTCATCTTTTACAGCAGACCTTCCTCTACACAATATTCGACTCGTACTAAAAAGCCAAATTACAGCTTCTCTCTGAAACAACAACAATTTTATTCTGTTAAATTGCTACTATGCAGTTTAGAATATATCTTACATCAGGGACAGAATGATAAATAGTAGAGCCTGCCCATAGTACGGGAGACCTGATCCAATAGCTGGAGATTGCCAGCTGCAGTCCATCGTAAAAATTCAGCCCTGAGGCCAAAGCCCATACCCTAACCTCTTTCCTGAGGGCAAGATGTGCCGTTACAGAGGTGACCTAGTAACAAGCCACCAGTAAAAAATGGCCATCCTGTTCCTGCACTTACAATCCCGTCCCTCCTTTTCTCCACAACACTGGTCCAGTTCGTAGCAAGCTCACTTAGGCATATAAAACACAGAAAAATTGCTTTTCTTGTAGTTAATCTCTGCTATTTAGGTCTTTCAATGTTTTGCTGTGGGGTCAGACAAATGCCAGGACCCACAAAAGGAAAATGGTACAGGCATACAGCTGGGGAGAAAATAAGAGATATGCAGGCAAAATAGATGTCTATTTCATCACGAACAGAAGATTAAAAACATTTTCCCTCAGAAAATGTACTTTAAAGGGAAAGGAAAAACTAAAAGCAAATACATTTCTGAAGCAATGATGCCTTAAAGCAAAGCTTTTGTGTGGATCAATTGCCTAGTTGCTACAGAGACACTGAAGGACCATCAAGTTTCTGTAGCAAACCAATTAGTGTTACTTAATAGAGCTGTAGTATTCGTCCCTGCTGAGGCTTAGGGTTTCTGTTCAGGATGAACAAAAACATATGCTCGAAGTCCTCCTCTGTTAATAATACTGCTTCAAGTATATATCTAAAATGTCCTGTCCAGGACAAACATGTTTTCCTGTAGGATGTCTTTGCACTAAAGTAGACTTATATTAATCTAATGTGCAAGAAGTATTCCCGAATCCAGTATTCAAGCTGAAGCACAACACGTAATTGCAGAAGACTTTTCCTACTTATCCTCCAACTAAGCCTAGAACAGAGATGCACATTAGCAAAGAAAACTACGCTACAGTTGTGAGAATTAATATTTAGTAAATTTTAGGTACTCAGAAAAGCTGATATTTGCTAGATGCATTGAGATCATTAAATGATGCTTCCAGGAGACTAGAGAGTGATGTTTATTTACATGTTTACATCCCCCTCTCCCTTTTTCCATGCAATCACAAGCTTTTTCCATATACTGTTACAAAATAATAGCTTTGTCTACAGCCTTGACTTACTGAATACTGCTCAGAAGAATACAAGAGTGGCAGTCACCCTTCTGCTGAATAAAGAGCTTTAACACTATTTCTATCAATTGTTAACACATTTTCAAAAGGGCAAAGAGGTCAAGCTGTTTGTAGATTCATTTTCACAGGAACCCAAATAGTCATAATCCAAAGTTTAGCAAGAATGAACTTTCTACTGTCTTTCTAGCAATTATCTTTTAAGTTTTGTCCTTTTTTGTTTATTATACTTTGGAAAATGACATGATCTGTATTTTAAAAACACATAGGAATTAACTGGTAACTTCCCAGAAGGTTAGCTAGCAAACAGAACAAATACAGACAGCTTACCTTGACAAGGGCAGGGTACTGTGTCGCATCTTTTTCCAATGGCAAAATCTCAAAGTTAGTAGGAATAAATTCGTTCTTCATTGGAAGCTTAAATTTCCCATTCAGGTCAGCATTTTGCCATTTCTAGATAAACAGGAGAAACGATGAGGCTAAGTAGAACTTCTGCTTAATTAATGGCTATATACTTATTTATTTTATGCTGTAACAAAAGATTTAAAAATGTGTTCCACTAGCTTATGTGTAAATACTATTAAG